CCCCCCCCCCCCCCCCCCCCCCCCCCCCCCCCCCCCCGGGGGGGGGATTTTGGGGGTGTGGGTTGTTTCTAGTTTTTCATTTAGCATTGCTGTTACACATCTGCCTATCTGCAATAAATAAATAAAAAATGTGTTGGCTTCCTGTTCTTCATACCTGCCTGCACGTGAATACTATGACATGTCATCATGGTATCACTTTCTTAATCTATGTGGAACTGTTCATTTTAAAGATATAATGATTTTATCCATTAATCCTTAAAACAGGTCAAGTTCACCATTTTTTTTTCCGTATTAACATATTTCTGATTGTGAATTCTCTATTGTAGGATGAATCTTTTATTCCCAAATCTATAGATGAACAGCACTCATCTTTCTCTACGGTCAGACAGCAACAAGATGGAGTCACACGAGACATTTTGTCATTGTCATCTTCAGGTTGTTCGCTTGTCATAGCCATAGATTTCCTTCTCTTTCCATTTCTATAAATGCTTACAGTGCTGAATCAGGAGCTGAGCTAAATCAGAAGGAAACAAAAATAGATTTCCTGGGGGAAGAAACTGAGCATGGTTTGAAGTCGAAGGAACAGAAATGGAAGCCGTATAAGGAAAAGGTTAGGAACAAACTGTTCCATAATATGAGGATATTGTATGTGGGTTTAATTACACATGCAGTGAAGTTGGTGGAGTCAAGGTGATGGTGAAGTCATTGGAAAAGAGAAGTGGAACCTATATATGCTATCTTGTTTTAATATTCTTCTTTTCTCCTAACTCCTTATAATCCCATATAATTAATTTATTATAAATATGGGGTTCATTATTACGAGGGAATGTCTTAAATATGTTCTCGAATTGTTGTCAGGGAACTATTTTAAGATATTTTGGCAGCCATGGTTCATGTTCTTTACCAAAAGAAGACCACGATAAGATACTTGGAGATAATAAAGCATCCTCTTCCTCAGGTGATTGTCAGATCAAACTTTGTATATAAATTTTCAAAAATCCCCACCTCCCCACCTCCCCACTTCCCTGTTGCATGCGAACAACTTCCCTTTTCTCCGTTTGATCATCTTGAATCCTTTTGCAGATTCTAAGGTGATGGTTGATAGCTTCTTTGAAGTTGTGGAAGGCAAGTTGCCTCCAAAAAATCTGGTTCCAAGGACCAGTACCACCCTGAGTGGTCAAGATGAACTGAGGAGGACTGCATGGAGTTACAAGAGTGATGAAATCGACCAAATAACCTTGAATGAGTTACCAATAGAAATTCAGGCAGAAGTGCGTACTTGGCTTCGGCCACATAAGCGGGCTAATACTATGAAGAAGGGTTCTAGTATCCTCGATTATTTCTTACCAACTAGGAACTCGTAAATTCAATCTGTATAGTTAGATAGCCGAATCCTGAATGCTTTTCTTCTTTTCAGGACCGTTTTCTGTTCATATTTTCCTTAATACAAGTCATTGTACCCTTAAGTCAGAGATATTAAAAGTCAGAGATATTAAAGGTCTTATAGCAAAGTCTTGAGTTTAATCTGTATGCATAAAGAAGTCACGCTTTCTTGCTAATAGACACTGCGCAAATGTTTTAAAACTTGATATCTAAAACTTATATCTTACGGCAATATGATTTAACGTTACTCAATTTGAAGGGAGTTTACAAAATGACAGTGAAAGTTGTGATAATGGCTTTGTTGAGCTATTTTTGGCACAATTTTAGGTGGGATTTGTTGCTTCAGTTTGGAAGATTGAAGTTGATCTGTGTTTTCGTCGTGAGAATGTTGAAATTATTTTTTCACTTATAAAAAAATGATAAATGAGTGAATGAGAAATTGAAGTTCGAAGTGGACCATTGGAAGATTGTTTGTCTTGGAAAGAAGACTATATATTTAGCTCTCGTTTGGCTTCCATTAATTTTCATTCTATTACACTTAATTTTTCTCTCATATTTTTAACCACACAATCTTCTATAGAATAATATTATACGTAAAAATTTTTTTTCCTTCTTTTCAATCACTCATTTTTCAAAAAAATATTATTCAATTCATTTTCATTTCTAAAAAAAATGAGGGCCAAACGAGGGCTTAAATTTGTTTCACATAGGAAGTTTATGAAAGTAAGGACTACGTTATATATGATTATATTTGAGAAGAGTGTAATCATACGTAGTATATATGTTCTTTTCACATGCATGCGCAAAGTGTGCAAATAGCTGATCAAATTGCACATCAAACCTTGAATTTGTGTGCAAATGCAATTTACATACACGAATGTCGGACCAAAACTTGAGGCCAAGGCTGTAGCTGAGCTCGTTTTTCCATTATTCTACACTAGAAATTGTCCAGTGATAAATGTTATTCCTTACACTTTTGCATATATATTAATTTTGCTATATTCTAAATTTATTGTAAATCTCCCAATACTACAACAATCAACAATTGTCTAATAGGTGATCAAGTAATTAAATAATGCAATAAGTATGTAAAATTTATCAGGAAAAGAAAAAAAATACTAAATTACTAGTCTTGAATTAAAATAGATAAACAGTGGAGTTCATTTTCGTTTACTGCAAAAATAGATCCAACCTAACATGATTTTCAATAATATACAAGAATAATAATAGAAAAATATCATCGGATCACGAAAGAAAGCAAATAATGCTGATATTCAAGTCTAAAGTTGAAATCTTTAATTTTTGATGTAATTGGCTTCAATTTGATCTTCTCTCTCAAAAGTGGTGGATTAACATCTTGTTCTTGATGAATTTTATTTTATTCTTGCATATCTAGAGGTTAGAGAGTTCTTCAATATTTTGGCCAACATGAGAAAAATTTAATTAAATAAGAATTCTGCCCAAACAAGAAATTGCCACGAAAGTCCCCATAAATTGCTTGCGCACATGCGTCGCGTGTTCAGCCGCAACAGCGTCGTTTTGTCCTTTTCTTCACTGTTGAAATTTCAATTGGGCGCCAAACTTTTGTCCAATTGAGTAAGAATTTCCAATTGTCGGTATTGTAATGCCCCAAATTTTCATAAATCTTGGGGTGCTATAAAGTATTCAATTTTTTCTTTTAATAAATATTTTAATAAATGTAGAGTGACACAATCAAAAGAAACTCTTTATTTTCAAGCAAACATCAATTTAAAACACGAGATATGAGTTTCTAAAAATCTAAATATAATCAAATTATTAAGGGTCTGTTTGAGCCACATTATTTTAAAAAAAATATATTCTTAAACAGTGATTTGACATCATTTCAACCACACATTTTTCAATAAAATAATATTACACGAAGATAAAATTTTTTTCCTATTTTTTAACCACACATTTCTCATCAATACACTATTCAAGAATACATTATTACCAAAATAATGTGGCTCAAACACCCCCTAATCAAACAAGTGGGTCTTTTGAACAATTAGAGCTAACAAATAAAATTAGAGACATAACAACAAACTAATTGTTTATTTATTTATTTATTTTTTTGATTTCCTTGGCTGTTCACAGTACCAATTCGCCACAGTTCCAATCGACTCGAACGGACTTATAAAAATTTGTAAAAGTGAGTATTCGAAAACATCCAATAAGATACGTGCGATTTCCATAGAAAATTATATAACAAATAAAATCTACACATCATACCACTCTACTCTTATAGAGTATATCGGTGATCAAGCGATACTCCCACCTTAGGTCCTCTTATAATCTCATAGGATTTAATCTCTCTTTTTAAGGAACCCGAATGTCCACTAATAATCTATGCATATTTAATTGAATATAAAAGCATAAGGAAACGAAAACACTCGCACATTAAGTATCCTATCTTACTAAATAAAATGAATTAATGAAGGAAACATATTTGCTTGTGCCCAAATTCTTTTCTCAAATTCTTTTTTTGGTGAAAGTGTATCGATTGACAATGATGTATGTAAACTTTTAGATTTCCAACACTACTCTCTCTCCCTCTCTACCATAAGTGTATATTTGGATTTGTGTATGTAAAACTCTTCCATTATTTTCCCTCCCTCAAACTTACACGTAACATTGTTGATAAGTGTGTTTTTGCACATTTATTTAGATCACAAACATTACTTAATTACGAGCAAAATCGTTTAATTGTGGCTTAATTTCGTTTCATTTGTGATTTGAGGGTAATATTGATGGACATGGTGAAATTTAGGAGAAAAGACCCGAAAAAGGACCAAAATGAAGGAAAACAAAAGTTCAGGGACCAAGTTGTAAATAATCCATAGATGAGACGGCGATGAAATGAAGATTCAAGAGTGTTAGAGGTCAATCGGATGAGGAAAGGATTCAAAGAGGTGAAGTTATCAAGTACCAACTTTCAGGCGAAAAGGATATGCTTGGGATTTTCAGTCTCGAATTAAGACCCAATTTTGGTATAGTACACATCCCAATTTGTGAATGCCTATTTCTATGAAAATTGTAGATCTCTGAGTTCTCTTTCCAACACACTTTGAATCATCTCAATCGGATATTGAGAGAGGAAGATATAATCAAAATACTGAAAGCTGTCCGACAGAAAAATTTCTATAACCATGCAGTCGCATGGTTATAATTCCTTGTCGTCGCACAAGGCAATACAGGGAAAAATCTGGGTTGAAACTTCTGAACCATACGGTAGCATGGCTTTATACGATGCGGTCGCATGGTATAAAAATGTGACGAAATCTCATGTTTCCTTATTCAACCCAAACACGATTTAGTAAGATTTTGGGCGACTTCCTTGACCTAATTTCGTCCCCAATAAATACCAGACAACCCTGAAACATAAGGAGGGGGGATTATACACAATTTTGGAGGATTTGGAGAGGAAGAACTAGGCAAAAATAAGGCAATCCACTTCAAGATTCAAGATTTCACTTCAAGAATCAATTGGATGATGTTCTTCCTTGGTTTTAATTATTGTTTTTCTTTATTTCCCATTATGCTAGGCTAGATTTATATGTACTAGGAGATCGATGTACCATATGATGTGATATCTAAAATTCTAGTTTTACAATTTGACATTAAAACATGTTTTGATTCTTTTGAATGATTTATATGCAATTATTATTTTCCGCAATTAAGGGCCCGTAATTGTGTGAGTTTGGGTGACCTGTTCTTGCATTCGAGAGAAGTGGAATAGGTTTGATACAATATAAATTATCATAGGGTCCGATAGGAGATATAAATATACCTCTATGCCCTATGTGAATCTTTAAAGTGCTCATAAAATCGCATGTATTTTTATATGTACATTTGTCATAGAGATATAGATCGGTGATATGTAAAAATAGGTTCGATTCATCTCGAGAGAGAGTGTTGGATAGATTTAGGGGCATTAATTCATCAATAATTCAATCATGTTGTCAATTTGTGAAACTAGGGTTTGAAGTGATCATTGCATGGGAATTTGTGATCCTAGTGCGATTAATTGTCATTGAATTCAACCAATTTGCTTTCTAATCACTTGAATTGCATTTTAATTTGTTAAAACATTGTTTTGCACTTTAATTCATTCATTGATCAATTTAGCGAAATTAGGGTTTTTACTAATTTAGGGCTTTTCTTAAGTTAAATTTTCATATTGATAATTTCGTTTCGGTTAAGGTTAAGGTAGATAAAATTGAACTACTCGATCCCTGTGGGATGATATTAGGAACTTATTATTCCACTTATTACTTGTTAACGAACTGTACACTCGCGGTAGTTTTAAATCGAAAGAATGTGTACGGTTCAGAGTAACTATAGTCCTTACCCTCTTTTAGTTTGGATAGATTTCACTATCACAAGTTCACATGTCAACAAATGAAGGCTCTCCGATATTTGATTGCTTCAACACTTAAGATTAAACTAAGTTACTAGGCTCGCCTCAAAGGTATAGATTCTTCAACCAAATGTCCAAGGGCCTCTTGACGTTATCGTGCCTTTTCTCACTTATTTTCTGATAGTTTTTTTCGTCATTTTTCATTTTTTTATGTCATCTTCTCATTTGATTTCTATATAATCCCTGTAGCGAGCTTTAGGTGGATGACTCCCAAACCAGTTGACTTTAGGGCACCAGGTTTTAAACCCTTGTAGGCTTATTCACTCGAGTTATAAAAGCTCGATCAGATGACTTTTTATTCACTTCTTCCTCTCTTGTTTTCTATATGACCCATGTAATGAGCTTTGGATCGATGACTCCCAAACCAATTGGTTTTAGGGTATCAGATTTTGAAATATCCTTACAGACTTACTTGCTCGAATCATAAAGGCATGGAAAAAAGGTGTTTTTCTTTCACAAGTTAGATTTATGCCCTTTATTATTTTTCTAGACATTTGGCCTCCAAAACTAACCTTAAATTTAAGATTTTCACCTAATTTTCATCTCATTGGTCTAAGCAATCCACACAATAGAATTCATGCACGGAGCCCCCACTTATCTCAATGCATTCCTATGATTGCTCAACCATATCCAAACTGTCTTAAGGTGGTTTACTATTTGATTTTGTTGAGGGTTATCATTCTTCTCCTACTTTATGTTCAAAATCCCAATCACTAACCTAACATGTCGAGCATGAGTGGCGTGCATAAAGAATGTCAAGTATTACAT